GAATGCGATGCCAGACTCTCTCTCGCTATCGCTATCTCTCTCTCTCACTCACTCACTCACTCTCTCGTTCTCGCTGTTCCCGCTCTTTTTGCCTGTCCCTTAATTAACCGGATGCAATTATGACAAACAGTAGTTGTGTAGGCAATAAAAGGAAAAGGTATAATTATGGTGTCACAAATGATTACTAAAAAGCATAACTTTAATTGGTGCTTTTAATCATTAGTTATCGTTAATCTCTGGCTCTCTTTCACAGTGTGTTTTTGTCCTGTCTCTCTTTCTCCCCTTTAACAGGTTTCTTCCTGTTAAAAGGGAGTTTTTCCTTACCACTGTTGCCAAGTGCTTGCTCAGTTTGACTGTTTTTCTGAATTATTGTATTAGGGTCTCTGGTTTACACAATAAAGCACTATATAGATAAAGTGAATTGAATTGAGTTGAACTGAAATGAATAACTTTTGTGGTCTTTTGAAATAAATTTTGATAACTTTTGTTTTTCTTCAAACAGGCACCATGTGTGCTTGCTCTCAGGTGGGCAGCTTAAGTAGCAAATATGTAATTTTTCTGTTCTTTTTATAACATCAGTCAGAAAAACAAAACAATGGAAGGGACTAACTGGCATACCACCCACACAACATATGCAGTCAAATATATACAGGTTCAGGGCTTTCTCTTTAAAATACTTCAAAACCTCTCATCATTGCCTACAATGTGGAGATAGGGGAGAATTTACTGCCTTTGACTGCACAATCTTTACCAGTTATGCTAGACAGCAAGCAGACTAACTGTCCCACATGAGAATGAATGAGAATACTAGGCTGGCAGCTGCATTGATTTCACACATATAGTGCACGAGTGAAATTACCAGCAAAGTACAGTATTAGAGCCCAATAAATCTCAGTACTATCCATCATGTTTTATAAAATTGCATTTCTAAAGATGTGCTGCACATCGCATCGAATTTTAAAAGTTGCAATATAAATTCAAAGTCTGGCACAACTGCAGTAATGTTTTTGTTGATATTTTAAGTTATTAGTATCATCACCCTGTGAATAATTGAATAATTAAAGCAAAACCATAAAACCTAATCTATCAAAGTGCCTGTGTGTGCTTGTGCATGTGTCTGTTTGTACATGTGTGTGTGTGTGTGTGTGTGTGTGTGTAATTCAAGCCTGGAGGGAGGGCAGGGCGGCACAAGCACGGTGCTTGGGGATTTGGTTATCAATTGTTGCTTGGCAACCACACACCATCTCTCTTGTCCTCTCACCCTCCCCTCCTCCCATTTCCCCCTTTCTCTCTTTGTTTCTCCCTCCCCACCTATCCATTGCTCTTACTGTACTACACTGTTGCACTGACCCTTCAGTTTTTCCACTGTTCTCATCCTTCACACCTTGTGACATCACCTTTCCCAAATTCTCCCCCTACACTTTTTTCCACCCTCATTTCTCCTAAGAGAGGAAAAGAAGCAAATGTGCCTGATGATGGGATAGGAACGAATAGTGAGAACTGGACAGGAGAAAAGAGCAGCACAGAGAGGGAGAAGGAGATGGAGAGATGGTGGCCTCTTCTGCAGACAATCCCATTCAGTACTTCAAGGATCTCGCAGTGCACCCTGAAAAGGAGTCACTGCTACATACCTTCTCATATAGTCTAAGAAATGATCATTGGAAAAAGACCAGAATAAAATCTTCTGGCATCAGTCAGACAGGCCGTAGAAGTCAGTTTTTCTCTATCCATGTACTAATGTGCTGTATTCCATATAATGTAGTTAGATGATTAGATTGATTAACATATATTCCGTAACAGGAATACATACAATAAATAATTTGCCTTAAAATGTATTTTTGTATGGGCTTTTTCTTACTCCATATGAGGAATTTACTGAAAATATCTGCACAGAGTACAGAATATTTATTTTGAATATTAACCTCAAAGTTAATACTGACATCCAAGAGCAACCTGGAGATTTATATAATGAGTATAAGTGAATAATGTGTTGAACCATAATTGGTTAAAGAGCAGCTGTATTGGGTTTATTTGACAGAGGATACTGCCACCTATAGGTAATCTACAAAAATTACTGGAAACATTAAAGAACAAACCAGCTTCAATACAGTCTTTGTTTTTTTCTCTCCTGTTTTTCTTTTTGTTTTTTCTGCATCTATGCAGTAGCGTGCAGATATCATAACGGCTGTGTTTAATATATGTGTTCATACCCATGCACATTTAAATTTGAACATAGATGTAGTATCTGACCACCTGGGAGAACATTATGATGCATTTCATCAATTACATTCCGTCATTTAATTAAGTGAACAGCTAAATGATACACTGGATCTTGATAAATGAACTATTCAAAATGGAAATATTTACGTATGTAATGTAATTTAGTGAGAAATAACGAAGAAAGATAAAGTAAAATAAATGCAATCTTAGTTTTAATATCTGTTCAAACATGAGGAAAGGCAGTGGATGGGTGAATAGACACATTTAAAATATTTAAAAACAATTATTTTGACCTCACTAAAAAAAATTATAAAAAAAAAAAAGCAAAAGCAGGTTCATTCGGCTAAATGACATATTTATAATAATACAATTCATAATAAGTTAAACTAATAATTAAAATAATGATTAAAATAATGAAATAAAATAACTCAAAAATATATACTCCTCTGTACTGTTTCAGTATTATTATAAAAAAAATAACCTTGTATAAGAAAAACATTATATAAGGTTATTTTTCTAGCTTTCTGAATTGTATTTACTTCATTTTGTAAATGAGTAATTCTATATTTCTATTTGCAGAGTAAAACTAAATTGGAGTTTGTTTCCTAAGACCTATTTACTCATAGTCTTCTTTCAACTTTGAAATTCTTGATGGTCATGACCCAAGAACATATTTCTTTTGTACCATGACTGAGACTCATTCTTAGAATGGTTCAGGTGTTATTGAAGGGCAAGATCAGAGAGGCTAAGAACAATTACAGTAGAAAGCTGGAGTGAAAACTCCAGCAGAACAGCATGAGAGAGGTGTGGAGTGGCATGAAGACAATCACTGGATTCAGTCCATTCAACAGCAGAGGAGCTGGGAGCAGTGAGGACAGAGCAAAATGAGTTGAATGTGTTTTTCAGCAGATTTGACACTGCAGTGAATGCTCTCCCCCCTAGTGACTTACCTGTAGTCAGCCTGCAATCCACAGTCACGTCACTCTCTTCAAACTCCTGTGGAAGTCCTGACACCCCTTCCCCCCTTTGTCACTTTCACTCATGACCAGGTTCAGAGACAAATGAGAAGACTCTGCTCAGGCAAGTTTGCTGGTCCAGACAGGGTGTGGCCCTATGTCCTCATGGCCTGTGCCCCCAGGTTTGTGGAGTCTTTCATAAACTGTTCAGGATGAATCTAAGTCTTTGGAGGGTCCCAGTGGTGTGGACGATGTCATGTCTCATTCCTGTACCAAAGACACCATGTCCCAATGGCCCCCAAGGTTACAGGCCTGTGGCACTGACCTTCCATGTCATGAAAACCCTGGAAAGACTCATCCTTTCCCGTCCCCAACCTATTGTCAGGCCACGTCAGGATACCTTTCAGGTCTCATACCAGCCTCGCCTCAGAGCTGAGGATGCCATCATCTACCAGCTCAGTTCTGTCTATGCACATCTGGACCAGCCGGCAAGCACTATAGCCCCTTTTCCATTAGTACCTACTCAATTGACTCAGCATGGTTTTCAGGGTTTTCCATTAGGTCATAGTACCTGGTAGCAGGTACTTTTTTAGTACCTGCTTGCCTGAGTTTCAAAGCAATCCGAGCAGGTACTAAAATGTGACATCGTCAGACTGCGTGCCACCGATTGGCTGGTCAGTAGCATCTCTCAATGAGTCATAAGGTCATAAGGTCAATGCTGGACAGTACCTCCCACCCACTCCATGACGTGCTGGCCAATCACAGAAGCACGTTCAGTGAGAGATGGAGAATACCCAAATCCATAACTGAACCACACAGGAAATCAGTGCTGCCTGATGTGGCTACAACTCCTCCGTCTAATGCATAATACACAGTGCAATAGTCACACCCTTTTGCACATGTAGAGTGAAAATGAGAAATAACAAATGATAAAGTTTTACAGTATACAGTTTAGAGTAAAATGTCCATCATGTATTTATCTTTTTTTGTAACTTTATTATACTGTTTTATTTAATTTAATCAGTTACTGTACTGTCTTGGAGCAGCTGCAACCACATCATTTCCTAAGGGATTCATAAAGTATTCCAATTTTAGAGCTGCAGTCTATGATACCAAGTGGCTCATCCCCAGATGTTAACGTGAGTCAATTCTGCCTCACAGTGACCATGCCTTGAAATTACAGCCAAATAAAGGATAGGAGGCTCTACCAAAGCCATTCATCATCCCAGTTCCAGCTTCTGCTGTCATAGTAATAAGTTATGTAAAATATGCAATCACCAAATATTTAGCTAATGTTAAAGCTGTGTAGATGGTGATAATATTTTCAACTCCTAAGAAAAGAGAGAATTTAAATAAATAAATTTAACAAACGAAAAAATAGACACAAAACTCATATCTGTTTGATGAGAATAAACCACAATGGGATGTTGAAAATAGGTCTACATCATAATCACAAGCACGGCAAATTGGTACAGCGATTATGTGTTCCACTCCAAACTCACTTCTACTAAACAATTTTTAAAGAATCACGGTGCCTTTTTTAAATTGTTTTTGGCACTAGGATGTCAGCTTGTGCATACTTAATGTAGGTTTTTCTTTCAAGACCAAGTTTGCAGTGTCCACATGGAGCAGACGGTCAGAAGTTGAATTCACGTGTCCGTAGGCACGTCTAATTAACAAATAATGATTAAGCTGCTCCAAACACAGAAAACGAGTTTGTTCCTTAAAATAATTAACAGAGCAAGGTCTATTATCACTTTAAAAAGTTATTTTTTAAGTAATAATAAAGAAAGCTGTTAACAAAACAAAGCTCAACTCCAAATGTGCAATATAACTCTTCTTAATATTTATTCTTTTAGACTCAGGGGAAACGCTGATTTTTTTTACAGCACGATTTGCATATCTCAACACATCCTGTGTACAACCACAAAACCATAACAGTATATGTTTTGTTTTTACACTGAGTGAAAAACAAGACAATTTTACAAGCATATTTCTTTACACTCAGCATACAGATAAATCTATACATATTCTCTCTCTTTTTAAACGTAATCTTTAGGCAAAATATACCGACAAACCATCAACAAAACATGCAACATCCAAAACATAAAGTTTTAGACAACTATTGAAGTTGAGTAGATTTTTTTTTCCCCCTTTGTGTTGTTTCAGCAGTTTACGGGACGTAGTTGCACACATAGTCATTGGTTGACAGCACAGGTTTTGATTACACAGTCAACTCCCCTTTTACAGCTATAGACATGAACTGCTGTACAATTATATGTCTTTTGTGATTTTTTTTTCAACACTCACATGCTCAGACTTTGGACAATATAAACATTCAATCTTTGTAGAAAATAAACACTTTATGTACACATGTCAAACAACTTGAGTCACATTCACACCCCTCAGAACAACAACAAATGAATGGATTCACGATTACAGGCAACAGCTGATCTAAACAAACAGTATTTAGCTTGGGTGAAGTCTAATGAAACACAGGGGTTGAACAGTCAAGGCTGAGCATTGAGATAATATGTCTAATTTACTGTACTGTGTACACAAACTTTTTTAAGTACACTGAGAGCATGATGCAGTTTAGAGTGATATTCATCCCCCCCCCACATTGTGCATTACGTTTAGGAACCCCAGTGTGTCTGCATGTTTTTTCTTTTTCCACATAGATACAAAATGCACACCACAATATTTCCTGCCATCACATACACCATGACTCAGTTCATTTCAGTGCATAAACACAAAACACGTAATCCCGCATGTCATGATGGAACAAATGAGACAACGCAATAATAAAGTGCACAAGATCCATGTAGATGTTAACAGCCGTTAACGTCAATATATATTAAAATCAGTAAAAAAATCAGAGTATTTCATATTTTCTTTCATCGATGTACAAATTAAAGTTATTTTCTTACAGTTATTTTGAGAACATATGTTCACAGTTAAAACATTTTAATTCCAAAAACACAAATGCATTCAAACGTATATGTTGCATAGAATTACTTCAAATGAAACAATGGATCTGGAATGTAAAAAAGAAATATAACTGTTAAGAATTTAAACATAAATCACGGTTGGCACAACAAAATAATTGTCAGCATTGAAAAATTAACCTTGTTTTCTTCCTCACTATACTCTCTTTTTTGTTTGCTTGTTTGTTTTACTTTGTAATTATTATAGACGATAAGTGACATCTTGCTCTATGTTTGTAGTCTCCAGTGATATATTATAAATAGTTGCATTGGCTTTGTGATGTGCCTAAACACACTAACAGTAGTTCTGAGGGTCAATTTTTCATTCTGTACAGGTAAAGGTGACAAAACATTGTAAGACGAATACAGAGAAATACATGGGTTACCTACTCACACCTTAGTACTGAGACTAGGCCCCATGCTTTCATTTGATCCTATACATCACTGTACGCCAGTGGGCCTGAGTGTTTTGGTTGCAGGCAGTGAAAGAGGCTGGTTCAATGTGTTGTAATGGGAGTCACTGACACAAAATAGTTAAGTGTTTTACAGTACAGCCAGACACACAAAAGAACCTTGACGTTTGAATGGTAAAGCATTTTTTTTTTCTTCCTTTTGAAATAATTTTCAGGGAAAACTCAGACCAGAGGGACTTACTAACACAGAGACAGCAGGGCTGTCATAATGAAGTAATGACAGTTGCAGATCTACAGAGGATTTTGACACATATTGTATGAATTACATGTCTGACGATGGACTACACAGAAGGAAATATTAGCAAAATCTGAGCCACTATAACAATCTTAAAGCAAAATGTTGTACACTTGAGACGGATGTGTGAAACTCACCTTCCACAGTTGTAACATTCAACACAGCAGATGCTGTTCATTGTTAATTTAAATTTTAATTCTAATCTTTCCTAACAATATCATGCTAGTAAAATAGTAATCAGCCACTAGAGGTTGTCATTGACCTTGGATTTTATTTTTATTCTGTCACAGCCCTGTTCGATATAGTGGTGCATTAGTGTGATCAGAGAACCAAGGGAGCTACTGACCATGATTATTAACATCCTTGAGCTCACATAGGTCCACATTCACATAATAGTTATTGTGACTGCCTACACCATAGATTACTGGATTGTCAGTGCGCCACTCACAGCCTCAATCTAACAAGTCTGTGTATCTGTACCATATTATATATATTTGTATATATAATCTAGTGACAAGAGAACAACTCTTATACTGTATATTATATTTAGATATATTCTGCATCTGATATCTGTGTATACTATATAAACGTCACACTGTACAATGTGATTCTCTGATATGCTCTTATATTTGCATGTGGGATATCTACAATCAGAAGTGCTGTACATTTAATCCTCATCCCACAGCAAAGGTCAACTGTCTGACTCAGACCTACATAAGCTCTTTATTGTTTTTTTTTTTTCCTTTTTCAATGAAACTGAAAGAATATTGTACAAAAAATGTATGCATTTCTTCATCAGTTAATATTCCAAGACCACTTAAATCCACACACATCACGATCGTAGCACAACCACGTCTCTCATATGAAGGAAATAAAATGAATTCCATGATTCTGTTTTTCATCTTTCCCTTTGTTAGATATGTTTGTTCAGTAGTGCAGAATCACATCTCGGCGTCTCATGTGGATTATGGAAATAGAACTGTGGTAAGAAAGACGTCACTGCCCTCAAAGCCATATTGCTGCTGAGTGTCTATCAGTGCCAGCTTTTTATGTTTGCATGTTAAATCCAAAACCAGCAGAGACTTGAAATGGGAAGAGGTGGAAATGTGCTGGCAGTGTTGGACTGATATAATTGCAATGTTAGTAGCACATAATAAACCTTTATTTTATGATTTATAAACCGAAGCAACAAATTAAAGGAATCTTTTTTCTTTGCTCTTATTCTCATTCTCTTATTCATTTTTTTTGTCACATCTCTGAACTATGCACTTTGCATTTAGTGTTGGCTGATCTGCTGCATCTGGATCTTTTTGGTGTGGTGTTCAGGGGTTGGTCTGAGTGGAACTGACGAACAGCTTGTGCCAGCTGACCACTCTCTTCCTCATGTCCACCTTGTCAAGCCAGATGTAGGCTTCACCTATCAAGGTTTTCTTCATGAACTTCCCTCCATTAGACACCAAGAAAAGCTGGGAATGCATGAGAAAGACAAAAAGAATTTGTCTGTTAGTTATCTATATGTGCTTTGCCAGCTCAAAAAGTGCATGTTATTCAGTATGATTATTCATAGTTGCAAGCAGGTTGTTACAAGTATATCTATAAGTCTAAAAATTAATGCATTTTATAGACCTAGAAATTTTAGAGCCCATATTAGCTATTTACAGCAGAAGAAACAGCTTTTAACCACGTTGTGAGTACCAGAGGAAACTCTGCAACTTCCCTATGTTTGGAACACTACAAACACGGCCTGATGGCCGCACCTGCAGCCACACACCTCTGCAGTTGGGCTGTGTTATATATTGAAGTGCTGATTGGGCCATACCAAGTGCAGCTCTTGCCACCCATAGGTGTGCATAAGTGACTTGTTTAGCCTTCTGCTGGGTATTTTTGATTTGAAGTAATTATTAAACTAAGTGTTGCTTTGTTTGTTTGGTGTTAGATAATTTGTTAGGATTTGTGTTCCCCTTATGTATCAACTTGGCCTGATCAGCCAGTATTTAAGTCCCCTTTGGTTCTTGCTGTTAGCTCAGTTTTGTTTGCTGAGTAGTTAATCTGGAGATATGTCAAGTTGCTGTTTTTGGATTGAGTTTTGTTCTATTCATTTGACTTCTTTTAAAGGCCCTGTATTATTAGTTCATTTTGTATTTTGGTTTTTGTTTTTTTTACAATTTTGGGGGGTAAATACACCCACTTTTTTCTAAATACTCACTGTGTCCTCGTGCTTAACCAGCCTAGTCTCTCACACATCGCAACAAAAAAAGGTGGGAAGAGTGTAAACTAGATTATTTTTAAACAACACTCTCATATTATGGGATATAATGACTCCTTGTCAACACGCATAACAAATATTAGGGAAATCTATTTATGTTTTGTGTGTCTGAAAGAAAAAAAACCCAACAGAATATTGCCAAGTATATTGGATTTTTAAATCACCAAATATTGGTATCAGTCATAAATAGCCTTTATTGTCCAGACTCTAACACAATCATGATTTACTAAGTTTTATTCACTCATCGTATTTGACAATTAGCAGGGGTCTGAAAGTTATTTAGGTGCCTGTTGTACACTACCTGTATGGAGTGTCCAGTTGGGTTTAGGGGGAATCTGAAGGTCTCATTGAAAGAAGGCTCTCTATCATGTCGACAAATTCTCGTCTTCTTCTTAATGATCCTCTTCTGGGTGGCCACATTCACCACATACAACTTCACATACAGATCTGGATGCAAGTTGGATAAATAATAATATGAATTCATAAAAAGAGGACTATTGAGATTAAAAAATCAAAATGCATGTACATCAGTACTGATTGGTTCCACACCTGGCAGGTGGTCTGGGCTTTTGAACTTGTAAGTGATGTTTCTGCACTGAAGGATCTCCAAGACCAGTTGGTCCCCTTCTGTTTTCACCTCCTTCTTGAGAGCAACCTTGATCTCCCCCATTACTTGTGTTTTACCAGCTAACACGAAACAGAAAGAGCAAAATCAAAATCACATCAGGGAATATATCGCCAAAGTTTCACGTGTATCTCACCAGTTCTACATGTCCTGAAATAATTAAGAATTTTACAAGACAAGCTGATTTAAACTTGGTAAATTAGTTGTCAGGCACCATGGAAATGACCTCCCGACCTTCATCATTGTAACAGCTGCCAGGCTATACCCTAAAATGACCCTCTGCTCTTTGTAACAAATTGAAACTAGAGAGGGAAGGGAGGCATCGTGACACCTGAGCTACATGAAATGTAGATATAACAGCAGTTGTGGGACAGCATGGCAACCACTTCTCTCAAGTAAGTTATTATTCGGGTTAATATTGTTCATTGACAATAAGCACTTAGCTGACAATTTGACCTCGCAACTTAATAATGACATTAGCAACACCATTTAGAGGCAGTTAATTAGGTGGCTTGGTTACAAAGAAATTGAAAAAAAAAAAAATACAACAAAACCATCATTGCACAAAACACTCAACAGGGGGAGCCCTCTGACCAAGAAAGCAAACATTTGAAAACGTGACATTTCTAGAGCTTGCCTTCATTTTCTGCAGTCTCAAGTTGGTTTTTGTCTGTGCCATTAGGAATAGTCTTACCGCTGTAAGAAAAAACAAAAAAAACAAAAACAAATGAATTTATGAACACTGTTTTATACATTTAAAAGAGTATAACATGACATATACATTAACAACCGTTAATGCATAATATGCTTGTATGGAGCTACAAACAGTCTTACATCCGTGGCACTTGAAAAATGGCACTGTCCACTCCTGTGCCTGCTCCATCTTCACTATCCAGACCTCCATAAGCGTCTCCAACCAGGCTCGGGGCAGATAGTACCACTGACCCTGAAACATCACTCAGCCGGTGTCCTGGTCCTGTGGGTGGCAATACTGAGTGTGATACTGAGGAAATCAATCACTCAGTTTTTTCCTTCAAAATAAATGACTTGCATAAAAAACAAACAAACAGAGAATGTTAAACGACCCAGCTTTTACCACACATGCATGGATGCCCAAGACATGTGCTGTATGTAACAAAACACACACCCAGCTATCACTCATTGACAGAGGCACTCTCCATCACACATAACTTTGACAACTTTGACTAAGCATCACATAACAGGGCATCACTGTAAATGTCAGCATCTCCTTGCATTTACGTAACAGTGCTGTGTAAAATCTCTGTAATACAAAGCAAATCCCTACATTAGAACTAAATGAAGGTCACTAAATTTAATGAAAAAAAATAAGATTAATTCACTGTAGGACATGGCATGGCAGTTTGTTCATACAATTAAATATTCTTTCTTGGCTCTGGCTGGTTTCTGTTATGCTTTTGCAGTAAGAAAGAACTTGGGAAAATATGTGAAGATTACTGTTGAAACACATTCGGTGACTTTCGGTGTATTTTTGAAAGATGATGTGTGACCACAATGTGTTTGAAGCACAGTCTGTTACTGAAATGCAATAATTACTCATTCTGTTCCTAATGAAAACAAAATCATTCGGTAATAAAAGTGACACAAAATAAATATATAAATAATGAAATAATATATAAAATGAATATGTGCATTTCCAGACATTCATAGTGCTACATACAGAAAATAATTACAACAGAAATATCAATATTTACACATTCATTTATTTGGAAGGCTTAGTTTTAATTATTTAATTATAATTATTATTATTAGTAGTAGTTTTTTTAGTTGTTGATTAATATGATTTATTTATATATTTATAGAGTACATTTTTCCTATGTTGCCTCACCTTCCCTTGACATTTCTGCTTCCCTCATGGTTAGCTGACCGCTTTACACTCACTGGCTGGTGAGTGCAGCGTGAACCTCCTGTTGACTTTTGAAACCTCTTGGTGTTTCTGTGTTTCCAGGTTTGACTGGGTCATTTGTGCCCCCTTTGTTTTAGGTGGGAGGAATAGGGAAGGACTGTGCAGGGCGAGAAGACTGTGTGCCATACCTGTGTCTGCCTCTGTGTGTGCTTTTCTAGGGGTTGATTCTTGTGACACACACATGCACATACACAGCAATATTGCAGCTCCACAAAATATTCTGTGGCCAGGAAATAATAGCTAGGGAATCTACAGTTGCATGCGTATAAAAACCTCCAACAATGAGTTTACTTTCCTTTGTAAAGAAGTAGACCATTAGAGTTCATTTTGAGGATATCACATTGAGGATTATACACAGGTAATGGATGTTGTTTAAGTCATGTTAACACAGTAGAACATACAACATGTAAGGGATTGCCATCCTAGCTTGGTTTCTGTACTGGGGTTGGAGATCTCCACACCGGGGTTCTGTAGAAACCATATGCTTGGGATTGGCACATGCACACTCCATGTAGAAACAGAGGGGTCTGGATTTCTAATTTAGCTAATAATACTAATACTACAAGTTAAAATAATCCATTAATTATGTTTGTAGTTTCTTAAACTATTATCCCATTTAATTAACTATTTAAGATGCCCAAAGAGAAAACCAAAATATTAAACTGGTGAAAAATATCAGAAACAACACATAACAATTTAGTAAACTGAATGAGCCCCATCTCTAAAAATAAGATTTTAGAATTACATAGTGTATTAAATAGGATTTCACAGCAAGTTTATTTTTATTTGTGTACTTATTTTATCTTTTTATCTTTTTAAAATCCTTTATCTGCCTTGCTTTTTGCTTAACAGTTATATTAATGAGCTAGATCACTGTGACTTTGTGCTGGCAGAAAAGCAAGATGAGATGAGCAGAAGGCAAGGTAAACTGTTAAGGAGATGAATGCAGAGCAATTCAAGGCTTTATCAAACAATCTCTACAAAGCTTGCATGCAAGGGGAAAAGGTGCATTTCGAAGGTGGTTTATCAGGGGTAGGGGAAGGATTTACTTGGTTGCAGGCAGGATTGTTGCACGGCAGCTTCAGCAGCAGCAATTGCTATTCCAGCATCCTCAAGGTGGGCCTGAGTGACACTGCTCTTGCTTTGGCTTCGGGAAGGGCCATGGGAACGTAGTTGGCCGTCGGAGGAAGACTTAGAACTGCCTGGGCTACTGTGTGACTTTTCCAAAGGCATCATTTGCATGTCTAAAGGAATATTAAATGAATGGTTACAAGTGCCAAAGAGAAAACTGCAAAATACAGTGGCTTGCAAAAGTATTCGGTTCAAGGGGGCCGAATACTTTTGCAAGACACTGTAAATAAACCAACCCCTCTCAGGTGCAAATAATATTTCACAGTCATCTGATTGTTCCATGCAGTACTGATATGTATGTATTTACAGTGTTCAAGGTATGGTTATGAATACCTGCCAAGAATATTAATATTATTTATTGCTTAAAACTACTTATATGGAATTAATTGATATTTAGCAATCATTAACTGTAAGAATGAGGTGATTCTTTACCTTTAGCTGGATCGGGAAAGATTCCATGGCTTCTGCTCTTGATTACAGAGTTTTTAGGTGAATCATGACTCCCATCTCCCTGCCCTGGTGCTAGACTCTGACCCATTCCATACCCCTGTCCAGAACCTGAAATGTGGCCCTGGCCCTGGCCATGTCCCTGACTTGACCCAGACCCTGACGGACCTTGGGCAGCATGGTGGGCTCTGCTGTGTTCAATGCTTTCACTCTGCTCTTTCAAAGGCAGCCAGCGAGGAGTGTTGTCCAGCTGGGTGGTATTTGACAAGTCAATCAGTACCTGAGTGACAATAAGAGAAAATAAAAGAGAGAAAGAGTGAGACAGTACAAAATAAATAGGAATTTAATATATATAGTTATAGAAGCCAAGTTTAAATTTGGTGTTTGTCTGACCTGAGAGTTAAGTTAAGAAACGCAGGTCCACCAATAAAACAATAAAAATAAACCAACATAAAATAAAATAAAATAAAATAGTAAAAACCACTTTAATGAGGTAAATTGGTAAAAAAGAAAAAGAAAAAGTGAGCTAAATTTCACATTGTCAGATGGCAGACTCGGCTTCACAAGTCACTTACTTCTCCAAGGAAGTCATTGGAGGAGGACCTGTCATAGTCCCACACTGTCACCTCCAGCGTTTTTTTCTTCAGCTTCAAAGAAAGAAAAAATAAGTAAAGAGAGGGTCACAGATTATGGTGAGGCGTTGAGGCGATCGTGCGAGGGAACAAAATGTGTGAGGTGTGAGCTTGTTTGTCTGTGCGAATGTGGGTGGATGAAGGACAAAAGAAACGAGCTCGTGTACACTGAATGAGTCGTGCCTAAATGAGTGCAGCCATGAATGCTAATGAGGGGGGTAATTTAATCAGCAAGGAAATCACGAGTTGTTAAATGCATGTGTGCAAATACGTGGACATGTATAGAAACACTCGGAAGCATGTTGGAGGACATAACATATACAGATATACTTATATAAGTATGCACTGCAGATTTTTTTTTAAGGCTGCGATAAGACGATGGTGGTGTCTGTCACAAACAACACAAGCAAACACAGATGGCTAAGAATAAACACAAGCAACCATATATACCTCTAGCAGTCACAGATGAGCACACATGGGCATGATTACCTAACACTCTTCTATTACTCTTTTTGCTAAAAAGGCATGCAGTTAAAGTGTCTGTGTTGACACTGTTAGAGCAAGAATGTCGGTTGTTAACTTGAGGTTTGCTAGTGCTGATAAGAGGCTGCATAGAGGATACTGAAAACAGCCCGAGGGAGAGAGCATGAGGACGGAATTCTAAGTGTCGTATAAGACGCTGAGGCTTCCACATTGCCCAAAGTGGATCACAACAAATACAGTAACTACACAAGAGTGACTGTGGGAAGATGTTTGTGTGCATGTGCGTTTTAGTGTGGGACAGGAAGAGAGGGTCTGCACAGTACCTGCTCTAGATGAATGTTCTTGTAGATGACAGTCTGATTCCATTCTGGGTTCATGGTCTTCTGGGCATACTTGGTCCTTCTCTTGTTATCAGCACTGATAATTCATGACATTCAGAATGATTGGTTGTTAATAATACATTATTAAAAATCTCTCCACTGCTTGATCCCATAGCAACATTCACAAAACTGCAATGCTCAGTAAATGGGCTGAATAGATGCTGCTTGGAAAATGGTCAATATCCTTATTTGGAGGCACCAGAGAGATCGCAAACAAACTGAAATATTTTTGTTAATTGTCTGCTCTGAGTAAGATGCTTTTAAAAAATTTTTTTCAAATGAGTACAGAGATAGAAGCTGAGGAGAGTTCAAAGTCAGAGGCATGGAGAGAAAATGTAATGGCAGAAGTGCTCTTAAACACTGTGAAATAGAGCAGATAATTGGACGAACAACAAAGGCCACAATAAAAGGATGGAAAACCACTTTGGATGGGTAAATTACACAAATAAAAACATAACACCAACTAAAAACAAAGATCAGCACCACACTACCTTGCATTCTGGACAACCATGACTTGGCTGAGGGAGTCCAGAAGAGGAAGAGGAGGGCATATATCACAAACAAGAAAAGCAAAAACACAAAATAACAGTCAGAGAAGCTCAAAGAGCTCAAAGAAAAGGCAGTAAAGGATAGAGAGCTGAGGCAATCAATATTCTCTTGAGGGTAAATCACTGTTTTTGTGCCTACACAGTAGATATGACTCAAGACCAAAAAGCCTCACAGTGATTACTAGCTCACAGGTGAATGAGAAATTCACTACTCTGACCTTTTGTTGAGACACTGCAGCTGTGAACTCTTTTGCTAATGTCAGACAGATGCATTTCAAATATATTCTTGCAATAAAGCAGCAGTACAAAGGTGCTCTCAACGAGCTTACGTTTTTAACCTATACAGCGTGTAGGTTGAGGGAGAGAGCGCATAATCTAATAAACAGGCCTGATGGAGGCATTATCTAAGAGCAGATATTGTTACAAGGGAGATAATGGCTGCATCGATCCTCTCTCTTGCTATTCACAAGCTCTTAGGAAGACAGTGGAGTCGACACCGATAAGAAGGAGTCTCACCTAGGGACAAAACCAAAGCACTCACTTTAGCCAAAAGTAGAAAGAGTAAGAACATGAGGTTGACCATGTGGACTCTCTGTTGCCAGCTAATTTGATACATTATAATGCAGCAATTTGGAAAAAGGCCGCCTCTTACAGCTTTATGTAAAGTCTAACACAACTCACTTTATTTATTTATAGACTAAAGCAAATCGAATCAAATTAATGCAGAAATGACTGCCTCATATCATCATGTCCTGTACCATTCTCTCACACAAACTTAAGACGTTAGTCAGTGGGATACAACAAAGTCAGTACAAAGTCAGGAAAAAAAAATCAGGGAGAGAGAAAACAAAACAGACACAAAGGCAGAAAAGCAGACACAGAACACATATTAGTTAGCACTAAAATGCTAAAAGCTCACCCTCTCCCAGGTAAAAGGTAGACCTTCACAAAAGGGTCAGAGTAGCCATCATTATCCCTTGGGGCCAGGTTTCTAGCTTGCAGGACGTGGACAATAAGATTTCCTAGATTTCTGTCATAGTTGATCTGGAGCTGTTTGAAACAGAGTGTAGAGGAGGCTCTATGAGAGAAACTACAGGAGTCCATCTTTATGTTGTTGGGGGTAAATAGTGATATTTTCTTAATGTTTGTTTGCATGTGTGTGTGTTTTAACCTGAATTTCTCCTGTGATGGGATGAGGCATCTTCATCATCTCTGTTTGCTAAAAAAAATAGAACAAAAACAGAGAGGTCAGGAGGTGGAGTGGTTCTAGATTGATAGTTTAATGATTTGGCAAACAAATTTGTCTGGCCCACAATAACAGACTTTAGCCATTAACCTGGGATTAAGTTGCAGTATATATTAATAGAGTACTGGTGAAAGAGGTGCCCTTGTAGAATAGATATTAACATTTTTCATTGAACGTATGCACGTTGTGGGGGACACTGACTATCTGATCGGTGTGTTAGAAAGGAAAGTCTGTCAGTGTAGTGTGACACCATTAGTTAGTTTAGTCAGACATCTCGTGTTCAAAATGAGTTCGTTATTGCAGCATCAGACTGCGAATTTGGGGTTTGATAGGTAATTATCCCCCTTGACCCTACATGCGGATGCTAGGATGGTCGAAGCAGCCAGCTGCTCTGTGCAGAGGGAGAGACAAGAAACCCAGACTCTTAAATAGAATGCCCAGATGAGAGGTTGTGTTTGGTATATGATTTAAGGAGAATGTTTCATTTGTCTGATGCAGTGCAGCTCGAGTTGCCTGGCTGAACTTGCCTGCGGTCTTCACTTCATTTATTTAAAGCAAACACATTTCACAGAAATGTCAACAAAAGACTAATTTGAATAAGAATGTGTGTGAGGTAAGCCACTAAAAAGAATTTTAATGGATGAAATCCATTACCTTGTGTCGCTGCTTCTTGCTTATTGCAGGGGATGCAGGCTGGCCAGGGCTTGGCACCCCACTGGAGGCAGCCGATCCAGTACCAGAGTGGAGGAGGGCAGAGCGCTCTAGTGCAGACAGGACCCCCAATCCCCCAGCTCCTACTCCAGCTATACCAGGTGCCTGCTGCTGGGACACCTTCTGCAATTCTGCAGCTAACTGCTTAGGATCCACACCGGGGGAACGCTGTCCACCTACAGAGACGAGTGTATATAGTGACTCACATTTTATTTATGTCAAACATGTACGCAGGCGCATGCACGCATGCAGACGTAGCAACAAATTCTCGTACATACCAGCCTTAAGCTGGACATGGTGCTCCAGGGCTTGTGGGTGCTCAGGGTCAGACAGCATGTTTAGGTCGCTGTTTGGATCCATACAGGAAATTTATAATGGAATAACAACCAGTGCGTTGTAGGAGTAATCAGTCACAGAGTGGATATTTGGCAGATGAAGGGGTGTGGGATGAACAGAAGGGGAAGGAAAGACGAGAGAAGGTGTTCATGGCTGCAGAATCACCATTTTGTGACTAAACATGTAGGAGTTTCAGTGGGATAGAGGGATAAATGGTGACAGATGTTACTCACAGTCTCACACAAAGCTCCGCCTCTGCACATGTCTGGCCCATAATAGACTGCACTTCCTCATAAGTCTTTCCCGTTAGAGGGACTCCATTCCACTCCAACACCTGCATTCCTGTAATACGATGAAGGCCAGCATGCAAAATGAGTGACTACCCCTCATCTCTATACATGAAACGTGTTAGAACAGAGAGGGCAGTTTTCATGCTCACAGAACAATAGTAATAGCAAACAGCTCTTCAACTGAATTAACTCTGTCTTCATTCTTCTTTATTCTCAGTTGGGTTTATGCATTGGCTTTGTTCCATTGTTGGAACAACACCAGCACAAAAGCAAGAAAGAAGAGTTTTGCCGATGATTACATTAGATGTTTTGTTTCTCACAAAGAATAATGTAGAAAAAATAGCATATTAGAAGTAAAAACACAGCAACAGCACACGAAATAACCACTAATATTTGCATATTTATGATGTAATACACAAAACAAATCACAGCAAACTCAATTTTTCCACCCAGGGCCAAAGAAATATGAGGCCTCACTTACACAACTGAAACCTGGTCTTCAGATTAGACTTCTGCTTACGAAGCAACTCACCAGCTGCTGTGACAATAAAGGCTCACATTAATAAGTGCGTATCCTCATGCATGAGCCAGTATTTCTTCTTAGATTATTCCCTCTGTTCTCTGTGTATAATCTGTATCCTCCCCCACTTTATTTCACACTGCACCTAAAGGCATGTTCTGCTGCCAGTTTCTTTCAACAGAACATAAACATATGCATAGCATACAGCACACGCTTGAAAGTAAACCAGCCAACCTACTGTCTTGCCTTTTAAAAAAAAAAAAAATTTCTTGTTCAGCAAGACAAAAAGGGAGTAAGCTATATCAGAATTAAATGGAATAAGAAGCTAGAACCAATTATCTCATTAAAACTACTGGTGGAACTGCAATCAGTACTCAGGCGCTTCTCTTTCTAAACAAAGATTAGAGCATCAATTATTTGAAATTCCAGAAACTACAAGAACAAATTGAGCAGGGATTGTTGCATGGTAATTCACTGTGTGTGTGTGCGTGTGTTTATCTGTGCTTGCCTGTCTATCTGTATCTGTATGTTTACAGGGACGCTAAATATAGTCTAATGACTAACACAGCCCACTGATGTGGAGGGTGTGTTTGCGCGTGATGTGTTGAGGAAAGACACATGACAAACCAACACACAGTAGGCTACAGCCGCCTGTCACAACTCCATCTGGAGTGATTTAGGCATGAATTTTTACTGAAGGCGTAAACGGCCCTAAAATCATCAACACTTAAAAAGCACTGTTATCATGACTCTCCTGAGCCTTGAGAATCTTTTTCATTCTGCTCTTACCCTCCACAACTTTCCCCGTTTGTTCTGCCACCCCACCAGGGATGACCTTGGCAATGTACGCTCCGATCTCTCCACGACTCCCTGGAATCTCCTTACCACCTACCACACGGATGCCAAGTCCATTACCTAAACGGTAAAAATAGGGATACAAATCCTAATTACAAAAACAGAAATAGACAATCTTTGTGATTTTTTTTATGGTTGTACGATAACTGTATGTCTGCATTTTGTAATAGTTTTATACCTGACACACTGGAGTCCTTCATGTCTCTCTTAAGCTTGATGCGAGTGTGAGGGAAGGCATAAGGCACGAGTTTCATCTGAAAATTCACAGCATTAAAAGAATCATGTTTGTAAGCAGAAAACATTCCGGGTTTACATATTAAAACCAAAAATAAACATGGAGTGGAAAAAAAAGGACCAAGCTGAATATTATTAGCTTGAATCGCACCTGTCTCCTGTCTGACACACTCCCGCTCTGAGGATGCCCTTCTCTTGGCTTATCAAACCAATCTGTGTCCTCTCTTCTCAGGTGGTAGGCTAGACAAGGAAAGGATCGCATTAAAATCTATGCATGAAAATAGGGACTAGAAGCTTTCAGCATAGAATCAAGCAATCTCTTTTTTTGTATTTAAGAATAATTGTCACACATCCACCCAGATTTTCTAAAAGGCAGGAAGATCTCTGATCTGTCCTGACTGGATAGGTGAAAGCAAAGAAACAGAAACTCTGCTCCATCCTATCCACAAGTGTGAGATCAGATGGCTACTAAAAATACTAAATGGTGTATGAATAATTTCAAGTTTGATAAAAATTGATATGCTTTAAATGTTTGGAACGTTTTATTTTCTATGTATTATTTTACAGCACTGTGTACTGGAAATCTCCCCCAAACCATCTTCATTTATAAGTAACGACTGGAAGATACTGACAGTCTCGTGCTCTATTTTACAATCACAATTCTAAATCATACCTTTAAGAGCAAAAATAATCAAAATATTGAAAGCTATAGTAATATCTCAACTTTGAAATACTGTTTTGGTGTTAAATGTAAAAGAATCCAAACAAGGATAGAATTTTCTATGTATTGGCGAGCCAAGCCCACAAACAGAAAATAGACTGCTACATATCTTGTAAATATCTTGAAAGCATTAGATCTTGAACAAATCGGTATATGATGGCAGCATTGGTTTTCAGAATTCTATAGAAGATCTTAAAATACTTTGTGCTGTGAATCTGCATGTTTTTGGTAACACTTATGCACAACACACATTTATTTTAGTGCATGGACATGAATACTGGAAATGGGTCTGATATGTTTACAAAACCACAGTGCAAACATTCCTGAATGACACATAAATTAAGTCTCTGCAGTGTATGACACATAAAAGATATCGAGTGTCATTAAGATGGGGTTCATACCAGCATGGAACTGACATGTCAACTACAAGAGTCACTAAATGATATGTATTGTATACGATTGTGAGGTGGGTCATTCCAGAATGAATCTGGTATGTTTACAAACTCAGCCAGAGAAGTGAACCATTCATGATATGCGGCATGGAGGCATACAGTCTCTAAGTAACTACATGAGAATTGCGATGCCGTCTCACCTTCTATATTCCAGTTTGGGCCTCCAGCTGTGGTACAAAGTTATATGTTTTTTTAAGAAATTTGTTCAACATATGTTCATTCTTCTATCAAGCTACAGGAAGTAGAGTGCTAAGACTAAGATTTGTACTGCAAGTAGGCTAAAATTCAGCACATGCACTAAAAGCAATAGTAAGAGATGCATGCTTTACTGCATTTACTAGCCTGACAGACAGATCACAAATTTAAGCAGAAGCACTGAAAAAAAAACCCCCAAACAAAACATATAAGATGTTTCTTTAGGAGGGAAAGCCATATCAAGATTGAGCCACATTATCATGAGAGGCAGTAACTTTAACTATGCTGTAAGATACTCTACCGTGTCTGATACTTTCATGAAAGATTCTGGCATCATCTCTGTTCAAAGCCAACATGGACTCACTTTGTGCTGCAATTGAGGCAGATGAACACTTTTATGTAAGGTCAAGACAAATGCTTCTGTCTCAACAAGAATGTATTTACATTGATTCCTCATAATTGGCCTTGAAACAAAGCTAAAGTTGCGGAAGATATTCTTGTTCGTTGGCACTATCTGACAATTACATCAGACCCTGTGCTTTTTAATGCTACTTCATATACAAGATACTTACCAAATAAAAGATAAATAATTATAAAGGCACTGGATTTACCTAAACTAATGGAACACTACCAGTCCCATTCTTATGGAAATGGAAACAGTGCATGTCAATATCTGCTGTGAATCACCGGGGAACACTGACATCTCACACCACAAGGAGACATCCACAGCAACAACCAACAAGCAGAAAACATTAATTTTATTAAGATGAAAATGGAAAACAGATGTACATGCAAGGATGAAAATAAGACCAAATTAGAAACTGAAAGATTACAGAATCAACGTTTAACACAGTTGACACAATTTTCTTTAAGTATACACAACAACATCGGCTTTATAGAAAGCTACTGCATTACATCTTTTTTGATCTATATAAACCATCCATTTGGAAATGTCTAAATTGGCCTGGCACTGACTTAGCAATTTAGTTAGAATGAAACAAAAATACCTGTAGAATCTGCAGAACATGTATATCACCATGATTCAGCAGTACTCTTTTAAACTTACTGCTGTTGTTTTCGAGCAAAACTAAAGGAAGAACCTTAAAAATGTATGTATTTCTTTTTCTATAAGTTTTCTGTGCCACTGAAAAAGGGCTCCAGTGTAGGCTGTTAAATATTGCTCAGATTTTTAATGAAATTTATACAAAAAATAAGGCAGCTGCATTGTGAGCAGTATGTTTGCTTAGCATATCTCTTTGTAGTTCATAAACAGATAACATAGATTCTAGAGAGGATCTAATTTAACATTTTTAGAACTGTTGGGGTCTAAGAATAAGGAAGGACATTGAATAAATTAAACTGAAAAAAACAAACAAACATCAAGCTGATGAAATGACACAGAAAAGCATGGATAGACGTGGCATACATAAACAAAGAGTGTTATGTATCGCTGACCACGATAATTAAAAGAAAGACAAAATCATGCAAAATTGTGACTTTACATTTATCGTGACAGAGGGAAATATTGTAACAGACAACAATAATTATCTGGAGCACTGATAACTGAGAAAGAAACAGTTAATCCACAAAGTCAATATGACCACTCAGTATTAGCATGCATGATAAGCACGTCGATATGGTCAAATTGTTGAAGCAGTCTTAGGCTCCATTTACCTTCACTGTCAGACATGGCACCTTGCAAGTCATCCATGATGAATGCGATGTCTCGATCATAGCCACGAGTCCGAGATTCCTCTCTCATATGTTGCTGTACCTCTGGGAGGGAATGGCTTGACCCAAATTGGTCCCTGGAGTCAGCAGAAATGGGAGGGAGAGGACCAGCTGAAGCTCTAGCCATACCCATTGGTTGCCCCACTGGACTCAGAGGACTTTCCTCCTCTGAGTTCTGAGCAACAATGGGGATGCGTCCACGGCTTTGGCTTATAGGTAAACTAGTGGGTTTTGCTCTGGCTACCCCAGGGGCAAACGCTGCATCTAGAACCTCTCCCTCTGATTTAAGTCTTAATGAAGAACTGGACAGATCCCGTTTAATAGATAGATCCAAACCATAGACTGAAGAGGGTCGGGAGGAGGGGCGAGAACGGGTACCACTTGGGTAGGTGCCATCATCATGGGCAGTTGCCCTGATAGTAGAGCCAAGTCCAAGAGACTGACCAAGATTAAGAGAACCAGACAGGTTGGCCCCTAAGGAAGAGCCTAAATATTTTTGTTGCTCAGACAAGTTTTTTCTTAGCCCAAATGTAATCTCATCCTGAAGTAGCCTAGCTCTAGCAGCCAGACTGGACACAGAGGACGCTCCAGATCCCATGTAGCTACCATATTCAGGCTCAAGGTCCCTACTCTCCTGAATTGGGGAAAATTTTGTGATGGCCTTAGGGTCTATAAGGGCCTTTTTGTTCTTCATCTGTTTCTGGTAAAGCATAGCCGCTGGGAGTTGTTTTGCAGCCTGTTTTTCAAGGGTGAGCCTGCCAATGCTATATTTCTCTCCTTTAGGGAAATGGCGAAAATTGCTGTCACTGGGGAGATATTGTGGTAAGCCCAGACCAGTCAAGTGTTCGAGTCCCTCAGTTCCTCGTCGGAATTCTTGCTTGATCTGCTGCTTCAGTAGCTTCAGCTCATAAGGTTCTTCCATAGTATCATCTTCTCCTTTGCCATAACTCTGAAGCCGAGATGAGCCTAAAAATTCTGCCACCTAAACGGAAAAAATAAATAAAATTATACGCCACATGTTAAGTGTTATTGTGTAATTGTTCAAAACACTGAAGTGTTTTGAACAATTAAAAGGGCTATATCAGTCACACTGTTTTCTACATTCATGTAAGCCTAATAAAATAAAACTGGAGAATCAGCACTTCAAATTTTTGAATCGCTTTTTTAAATGAAAGAGCCAACACCAAGAAACACTAACATTCTGAGCTATTAGCATTTGTCTGAGGAGAAAAAGGTAGCAAAAACTAGAAACTAAGTTAACAGTATGGGATTTACCTCTGCTGTGCGCCTGAGTCTGTCTGCCTTGGACATCTCCTTATCAGGCAAGTTGAATCCAGAACCCAAGCCAGTATTGCTCAGCCCTGTTGACGCCTTGGTGAGCTCCCCTATGTCTTCTATCAGCACATAATTCCTGGCATTATGGTGGTCAATATCAGCATAGAAAGAATCAGCAGAAATGCTAGACATGGGACTAGAGGCCATGCTCCTCTCCTCAAGTCCTAACCTCAAGTCCAAGCTTCCATACTTGCCCCCTAGGTGAGCCACTCCATATCCACTTTCTGTGGAAGTTGGCACAATGAGCAGTGGCTGGTTGCGTATCACCTCATAGTTAGTGGTGATTTTGGGCTCTAAATCAGACAGGTTTGTTTGTCGCTGCTTCCCCTGCTGCAAGAGCAGAGCATGTTGGTAGCTGCCTGGCTGAGTCTGGGCATGGGAGAGGGACATGGTTGGGTAAGGAGACACCTGTTGGTGGTAAAGTGATTGTTGCTGATACAGGTTCTGTTGGGTGTAGTGGCTAGTGGTTTGGGTCTGGGGAACATACTGGCCATAGTGAGAGTAGGGACTAGTCAGTGTGTTGTACTGGGAATCAGCTTCTGTCTGTGGGGGGATGAATTGCTCAAATTCCGACTGGGGAGCTGTCCGTGGTCTCTCAAGACCATCACCTCTGGTCTCTCTGATGTTGCTGACCTCACTGTCAGACATGTAGTCTCGCTCCTCTGCCACACCCTGAAGATAGGCTCTTTCTCTCTTCTCTCTTTCTTTCAGCAAGGCCTCCTTACGACGGTTGATACCCATCTCCAAGTACCTTGAATAAATAAATGAAATAAATATATATATATATATTTTTTTTTACAATTTTAGTACTCAAAAGTTCTAATAAAAACCAGGGGAGGTGGCAAACAATATTCTGTTTTCTCACACATTAATACCTGTTACTATGTGTGAGTGTTGAGAAGTCTCATTGAGAGATGTCAAGGCAGCCTTTTTGCCCATAAGCTATCAAGGTAAGAAGGGAATCATGCAGACGAATTAGGAAGATTGATGGCATGAGATGCAATGACTGATGCAGTGGAGTTAGCTTGAATCATTTTCTGAGGTATTAGTTATTTATTAATTTAATACAGTAATACAAGTATAGGTAACTTTATATCCTAAACTGCGATGATTTTAAATAAATTAAATGTGTCTCACCGTAGCTTGGCATCAATCTCTTTTTCTTCTTCATCTAACTCAGCCTGTTTCTTTCGAAGTTTAGAAGATTCTCTCTCCACTAGATCAAGCTCCTTGTCAATGTCCTGCAGGATCTTTGCCCGGGCCATAGTTGTACTACGAGCTAGACGGCGTCGAGCAGAGTTGGTGCTGTAGCCTGACCGTCCTGAGAGGGAGTCATCTTCAGGAGGGGGATCTGGCAGTGTTCTCTTTACCTTCTTACCTGTACTAGAGGGAGAGCCTCGGCTCTAGAATAAAAACAAACAAACAATCAGTTTGTCAATTCAGACTACTATATGACGGCTCATATTTTTCCATTCATATGTGATATGACTTACAGAATAGCTGTCTGCATAGTATCCACCCATCCTGTCTTCTGTGGAAGGACTAAGGGACTTAGGGTCAGATAGAGATTTTTGACCAGCCTTCAATATCCGAGGACCAGAAGAAAATCTGGTTGGGTCTGCAGTCAACATTCTCTGTCCTCCAAGTGACTTTTCTGGGGACAGTGGGGAAACTGTAGTATAGAAGGTTTTGGACTTAGCGGGGATGTCTGCTGAGAGGTGTGTGCTGTAGCCAACCTCAGTGGGAGCATGTCTTCTGTCTGAGTCTGTCTGACAGCTCAGACTTCCACCTCTCTGAGAGTTCTCTGGAGCTGATATATGTTTAATGATTTCTACTTTTGTGTCCATCTGGACATTAGGTCGCTTGATAGTTCCAGAGTGATCAGTCTGGACAGATATCTCTGCCACTGTCTGGATAGCAATGCTAGAGACCTTGGAGCCATGTTTTCCATCACTGCTATGCTTTCGAGAGCGTCGCCGAGCTTTTGTTGGAGCATCCCATTCATCTTGGTCTTCATCGTCAGTCTGAGCTGAGCTATCAATGTTTCTTTTATTTTTCTTTCTCCTTCCAACGTGTTGTTTCTCTGCTGAGTCTTCATCATCTGTCTGCACCCCACTATCAATTATTTTTTTCCCTATGTCCTGATCAGCTTGAAGCTTTACTAAATCTTGACTTTCCTCTATGTGTGTCCCAGCAGATGGAGTCGTAGACTCATCTCTGACTGGCCAGTACTGGCCACTGTCTCCTACGCCTGCATATTTAGCATCTAGAAGATTTCCAGTGGGACCAGTACTACCATAGTGCTCGTCTAGCTGCCGCTGGAGTTGCAGTTGGAGCTGCTGAATTTGCTGCAACTGCTCTTTCTGCTGTGCATAGGTCTCCTGTTGAGCCACCATGTGGGCATGATGCTCCTCTTCTTGCTGAAGGAGAAGCTGCTGTTTCAGAGCCTGAAGTTCCTCAAGCTCCCTTTGGACCATAAGCTGTTCCTGTTCTCGATATCGCTGGATTTCTTGCCTTTCCCATTCCAGCTCTTCTGCAAGACATAGTTGCTTAAGCTTCTCTAGCTCTAGAAATTCCCTCTCCATCTGATACTGGGCCATTTTGGTGTTATCTAAGCCAGGGAATATTGGAGAAGAAGCTAGGGCATCCAGAGAAGCAGCAATAGCTTCCAGGGTGGCATCAGAGTACATCTCTGGATAGCCAGTTATGATGTCAGCCAAAGCTGTAGGTAGAAAATCTTTAGATAGCCCAGAATCAAAAGGAATTATTTGTCCAGGGTCTGTAGTGGGGATAAAGCCATATGGGTGTGGTAATGGCTGGATGTGGACTATTGATGTGGGTGTTAAGGTTGTGCTAAAGACAGAACCTGGCTGAGTCGTAATTGCATATGTGGATGGAACTGGGGCAGCAACAGAGGAGTAAACTATTCCATCTGATGTCCTTAGAGCACTATTTACACCAAACCCAGCTGCAGGGATCTGGGAGTATTGAGCAGTAGTCATCAAAGGGTAGACTCCAGTCGTTTTGCTAGTGTAGTCTAGTGCTTTACCTGTTGTAATAAAATATATATTTTATTCTTCTAAAAAACTTTTATTAAAAACAAAAACAAATGAGTCATGCAATTTGGATTAAAAAAAACTGCACATGCATATCTGAAGTCATTTTGGCTAGCAAGATGCAAAACCAAAATACTGAGGGAGCACACGTAGGCAAACACATGCATCTGTATGAAAAAAAGGAAAAGAAAAGAAAAACAGGTTAATGTTTAAGGAAATCATGCATATTAAACAGCAAAGCAAATTAAATAGTTTCCAAAAAAGTTAAGGAGATCATGCAACCTATAAATAAAAAACAGAAGATATACAAATCATATAAAAGATTTTATTAGAGAAGTGTAGAAAATGTATAAAATACTGGTGATTTTTTTTCAAACAAAATGTTTCCAAAATGCTTCTTTGCTTGAAATCGAATTTTAGTTGGTAATCACTTCAGGGAATTTTATGTTAATTTTATTATGTGCTAAAGGGTGACGGGTCTTGCCTTCAGGCAGCAGGCTTGGACTCTTTGTAATATGTACAGAATTTTCCATTATCTTGCTGATATAACCAAGCTTCTCACTGACAGAATCATTGTTCAGCATTAATGGTGCCTCGAAAAAATTAAGTTTTCCATGCTATGTGCATCAGTGGAACCTATAACTATTCAGATTGTCATGTGTCTGCTGAAAACAAGCCAGGTGGTCAATGGCTGCTTTAGCCTAGAGTACACAACATCTTCAGGAGACAGAAACGCTCTCTACTTTTAAGATTAGGCTTACTTTTCCTTTTGATAAAGCATATAGTTAGGGTTGAATCTTCCCTTAGTTACGGTGCAATGTCTAGGCTGCTAGGGGCTTCCCATGATGCATTGAGTGTCTTTCTTTACTCATCTTTTTACTCACCATGTGTCTATACACATTAGTTATTATTAATCTCTTTCTCGCTTGACCCCCCAGTGATCAGGACAGATGGCTGCCTCTCCCTCAACCTGGTTCTACTGCAGATTTCTTCCTGTTAAAAGACAGTTTTTCCTTCCCACTGACGCGCTTGCTTATAGATATTCATATAATTGTTTGGGTTTTCTCTGTTTTCTATGTATTATTGTCTTTACCTTACAATATAAAGCACTTGGAGGTAAGTATTGTGATTTGGCGCTATATAAGTATAATAAAATGGAACTGAATCTATGAATCAAAATATTTTTTTAATTTGTGAAATTACAGAACACATCTTTGTATGTTCTTTGTCTATTTCTGTCTTAAAGATAAAGGGCATTTATTGTCAATTTTTCTCAAATTATCAGAATCTTCTAATGATATTATATACCACAGTTGGTAGAGTTATCTTTTTTACCCTGATCGAATAATAATTTTCCTAATTTGTTATGAGATATTCCTCAAACTATGTCCTTCCAGCTTTTATAAAGCATGTTGCTGGCATTAAATTTAAAATTGGCATATATGCAGTGCTGGTGAGTAACGGAATACATGTACCGGCGTTACGTATTTAAAATACAAAATATGAGTAACTGTATTCCGTTACAGTTACCGTTTAAAAAGGTGGTATTCAGAATACAGTTACTTTGTTGAATTAAAGGGATTACACGGCGATCTTTTCCTGTTTCATACGTTATGTTGTCCCCTCTCTATTTGTGGTAATTCCACCCTGGTGGAAACCCAAACGAAACACGTATTAAGAGGCTCTAATTCCTCTGTCTCAATCTCGCAGCCCATGTCACCCCTACTTGCAGCTCGTATAATGATGCGGCGAAATATTTGAAAAAAGTTATATAATGTGAAGGCAATAGGCAGAGTGTTACAGGCATAGCCCTAAAGAATGTAGCCTCATGGGCAGTGTAGCCCAGTTGTAAGTAAGCTATTAACTGTAAACTGTGTTTGTGTTTTTCTCCATTGGAGCAACCTTTCAGCGCCTCCCTCTGTCTCTCACTAACAAAGTTGACCCAGACAACAAAGTAAAGCTAGTGTCCTAACTTTTTTGGAAACAGTATGCAAGCAAACATGAAATAATAAACTTCCAGGAAAAATAATATGTTTATCTTCAGAAAGAACTGAACTGTAAAAACATACTATATGTCATGCAGAGGCATTTTAAAAGCTTGATTCAAGCCAATGGAAGCCCACTCCCCCCCTCAAAAAAAGAAAACACCGAAGTAAAAAAGACAAACCATGCAGAAGTACTCTCATACTCACCAGCAGAAAGTTTAGCTGCAGTGAGGTCTATAGCGCCATCTGAAGAGCCACTGAGGTAGTCATAGTCACTTTTAGGAACCATGGAAAACAGTCCTGCCTCTGTCAAATTGGTTTCAGACACTGATGCTTTTATGCCATTAGTTCCTTTGATACTATACAGTCCAGCATTATCATATTGATAGTGGTCATCTCTGTAGCCAAAACGGTTATCAGGCTGGCTTGTAACTGGAGGCTGTGTTCTGCATGATCCCGTGAATGGTAGCTTGTAAATTACATCACAGCAAACACTATGCCTTCCTGCTGTAAGGTCCATTGGGGTCCCATCATCCTCTACAACAGTGGTCACCACTCCTGGACTTGTACCAGACAATGCTACCACAGCTCTCATTGGTTTGTAGTTTGTCAGATCCATGGCCTCTGTGGCCTCTAGAGAAAGGACAGGCCCTCCATTGCTGAGAAGTGTGGGGACTGAGGTCAATGGCTGTTTTGCTCCAGAGGACACAAGAGCTTCAAAGGAAAGATTAATTGGTATATCTTGAGCTGTGGATGCTACAGCACTCAGCATGGGTTGGGTGCTAACAGGTCTGTATACGATCTGTGCTAAGGGCTCAAATGGTTTGTATGTTGTGAGGGATAGTGGCAATGATGTAACGGGACCTTGCAAATCAAGCGGTTTCTCTGCCGGAGTGTTGCTATATGAAGCAATAGTAGCTGTGCATGTGACAATTGTGATGCTGTCAGTGACAACAGACAGTGTGGTTGCTGGGGTAATTGCTGGACTAAGATTTACTATCTCCGGCTGTACTGCTGTAATTTGACGGCCACTAGAGTCACTTGAAAAAGACTGTCGACTTGATTCAGGCGGAGTCAGGTCCATGCCTTGCTCAGTCATCTTTATACCAACCTTCATTGTACGTAAATCAATAACATCACCAGGATATATTTTACCATTCTGTTTGGGTACAGGTTGGACTTTAGCAATGTCTGGTTGTATAGTTATTGCTACACTAGGTGGAGGGACCTGTGGAAGTCTTTCATGGACAACAGAAACAGTGGTCCTCTGGACCTCAGTGGTAACTACTTGAGTAACTAGGCTAGGAAGGCTTTCAGGTGGCTGGCCTGAGGTGGAAATTGAAGCTGAATACATATGGCTCATACTAGAGACCACCTTTTCTGCTCCTCTTATCTCCTGGCTTTCAATAGACTCTTGCTGAATTTTAGTGATGGTGACTGGAGAAACATTCTGTGGAATGTCTTGCACTGTGGGCCGTGAGGTCCTCGCGGTGTATTCCTCAGTGGTTATTAGCTCCACAGGGTGATCATATTCTGATGAATAAGTCAATGCATGTGGTTGGCGTTCTGGAATAGATTCTCTTCTGTAGGGGAGCTGAACAGCATAACCATCATTAGAAACATCTTTTTCAGCTGGCAGGTTTACTACCTGTGCTAATTGGTATGGTTGCTGCATGGTTATGGATTCTCTTCTGGTGGCAGCAAAGGCTTCAGCTGTAACCACTTGTCTGGGCATTTCATACTCTGTAGGACAAGTAAATCTTTCAGTTGTGGCATATGTTGGCTGTACTATGGAAGATATGGATGTCCTCCTCTTATGGGTGGTTTCCTCAGTTGTCATAACTGGCATTCCAGGCCCAGCCTGAGGTTGTATCATGGATGATGATATTGAAGAAGCTATGAGATCAGCATCCTTAGTTATAATTTGTGTAGGAGGCTCAAATTGAGGTTGCAATGCCAGTGGTGGCACTGAATGTGTCATAACTGAGGATGTTATTCCTTCACAGACCTTTGGAATATATATATGAGGAGGTATATTTGGATGTGTAACTATGTGTTCAACTTCCATGATAAGAGGTGATGGTGTTTCCTCAGCAGCTGTAGGAGATATCTTCTTATCTTCTATAGTTAATGGCATTAACTCAACAGGGGTAATTTCACTTACCACAGGTTGATGATGCGGTAATGGATGTACCATTGCTATCTCTGGTATTCTAACAGCTGCATCAGTTGTAATAACTTCTGTGAGTACATCAGACTTGGTAGGGAGGGAAACCCCTTCAGCTACAAGAAGTGGTTTCTGAGTAGGCAGATGTTCTGTCACTGCAGGCAGAACTTCTGAAGGTTGAATAGTTTGTAGAACAGGTGAGGGTTCAGAAATGGTCCAGCTATAGTTAAAACCTGTGGCCAATTCTTGATCTTTCGAATGAGTCATTGCTTCAGATACTGTAAGTGGATGCTCAACAGGGATTTGCTGAACACCTGGTATCAGTGATCTTAATGAAATTGCTTCTGCAACAACGACATCAGTAGGTACATCCTCGTCTGTATGTGGCATTTCAATTTGGGCTGCAGCTTGTGCATCAAAAACAGTTGCAGATGGTCTATCTTGGGCTACAGGTTTGTCAAAAGATACTCCAGGCTGCAATGAAGTAGAAACAACTTCAATCAGAGGCTCTGGCTGGACAGGTATGGTTGGTTTGGGAGCCTGAGGAACCAGTGCTTCACTTAAACTTTCTGATGGAACTGTTATGATCTCTGTAATTGTGGCTTGGACTGGATGAATGAGAATTTTTGGCTCTGGGGACACTGTGATGACCTCAGACAGTGTTTTAGGTTGTGACAGTGGTGGAGTCATTGATTGCTCCTGGTGCACAAATGGTTTCTTAATTGGAAAAGGCACAGTATGTGCTTGGACAGAAGTTTCCTGGGCTGGTGGCAATGTTACGATATCAACTACAGGAAGCGATGACAGCATTACAGATGGCATAGTGTCTGTTTTAGCTTGGACTTCAGAAACTACTACCTCAGAAGTTGTCATTTGTTCAGGGACAGCTGAAGCTACAGATATTGGAGGTGGATGCCTTACAGTAGGGACCGAGGCTCTCCTTACTGTAGCCTGTGCTGAGAATACTTCAATGGGTGCTTTCTGCTCTGATGGTGTTGTCCGTATTCCTGACACTTTTGTGGAAGGGATGGACCCTCTTCTTACAGGTGCTTGGACAGTTATGGACTCTGTTGGTGAACCAGGTTCTGATGGAAGCGTTATCACTACATAGGTTTGTAAACATTTCGCATGTCTTGGAGATACAGGTGATTTAGGAGATGTTGCACCCAACTTAGACTCCACAGGTCTTGTCAGACTAAGTGATAGAGCCTTTGGAGGTTCTTTTGTCCTGGGGAGGGTTGCCGCTTTGGGAGCTACAGGAGGTGGCTTGACACTCTCTCCTGGTTTATGACTGAAAACCAGTCCAGCTGGAATTGATACAGGTTTAGGTGGTATGGGTGGAGGAGGCTTGGTAGTCTGACTAGGAATAGAAGCTGCAGAAAAAACTGGTGTGAAATTTGCTTTAGCAGTTGTCACTGGAGTGGGAACTGATTGCTTTGGAACAGTTGGTTTGGGTAAAGTGGATGGAGGTGTTGGACTAGAAACTGTAATGGGTACTTCTACTGTGTCTATAACTTTAGGTGAAATGGGTGGAGCTACAACTTCCTGCACTGTTGCCACCTTAGTAGGAAGTGAAGATATATCTGTACTGCACACATCTGAAGCAGAATGTGGGGCTACTTGGCTACCATATGGAGCAGAAGCAATGAAAAATATTGGCCCTTTGCTAGGTATACCTTGGTTTCTGGCTTGTTCAATCAAAGCTTTGTTCTCTACACTGGGGACAATGATAACTACATGCCCCTGTCTATTTGGTGTTACTAACTGAGGTACAACTCCACCATCTGATTTCATGGCTTCCATTCTTGGTTGGATATCCACAACAACAGATTGCATTGGCTGTCCAACAGCTGTGGTTCCCATAGGTGATGTAGTCCGAGTGGCATGCTCAACAGGTTTTACAAAAGGAACATCTTTATTAGTTTCAGGTAATGATACCGAAGTAGATCGAGGGGGAGGAGGAGGCGGGACCTTCTTTTTGACTATAGTAGTTGAAGCTGTTGCTGCTGAAGGCATCTGGGCAGTTTGAGCCAGAGGTGGGACTACCACTGGACTGACTGATGGGATGGCTGATTGTACAGGGACTGAGTGTACCACTTTAGTTTCAGCTTGAGCTGGGGTAGTAACAAGTGCTGAGACTGGTAATGGGGGATGTGTTGGTATGGGAGCTGTGGTTGAAACCAGGTCAGGCATCTGCACTATGACTGGTTCAGGACTTGAAACTAGAGTGACAGAAGTGGAAAGAATGGCAGATGTTGGAGCCGAGACTGCAACAGGTCGGGCTGCTACTAGGGTTGTAGAATGAATGGAGACAACAGAAGGTGCTGGACTTGGTGCTGAGACCTGTGAAATAGCTGGAATGTTGTCAGGAACCTGAGATGGAGATGAAACCAAGTCTGGCATTTGTACCACAACAGGTGATGCAGTTATGGCTTCTACTGTAGAAGTCTGAACTTGAATGGCTGTAGCTGTTTGCGCTTTGGATGGATCAGACACAACATCTGGTATTGTAACTATAACTGTAACTGGAGAAGAAGAGACTGAGTTTTCATTAGATTGTACTCCTGCATCTATGGCAGGCAGTGGTGAGGAGATCTCTGGAGGTGATTGTGTTTTAAATGAAGCAGAAGGTGTTGGTGTAGACAGTGGAGTTGAATCTGATGAAAGAGGTGTTTGAGCCTGGAATGGAGATGAAGATGTAGCATTAGAGGCCAAACTGGAATCTGCACTAGCTGGTGAGGTTGGAGGTGACACTGGTGATACAGGAGAAGGTGTTGTAGTTAGTTCTGGAGCTGATATTGGAGTTGGAATAGGTTTTGGCTCTGGAATTTCACAGACTACACATATAGGATCCATCTCAACAGTTTCAGACAAAGATGGGCTTATGCATGGTTCTTCTTTGGTCTCAGAGTCATCACTGGGGGTAATGTCAGAGGAAATACCAATACCATAGTCATCTGCAAGACTGTCATCCTCTTCTTCCCCAGATGAACACTGAGTAATCTTGAGGTCTGGTATAGGGAACAATGCTTTCCTTAATGCAGGATCTTGTTGAATCATAGGCCTAACAAAACTTATAGCCCCACTAGGAGTACTAGGGATAACAGTTATGTCAGGACGCTTTGGGGGCTCAGAAGGGCGTGGAGGGGCTGGTCGCTTCTTTTTCTTTACTGACATGTCACTTAAAGTTTCAGTTTCTGTAAGAGGCATTTCAAGTTTTTCAGTTGGGTATGTCTCTTCTATAGTCACTACACAAGTTTCAGCAAATGAGGGAGGGCAAGTGACCTGTGAAGCGCTTGAGGCAGAAGATTCCATGGCATTTTGTGCCTGCTGAAATTCATGCTCTATCATCATCAACTCTCTCTTCTTTTGCATCATCTCCTCATAAACCTCCTCAGGAGACCTGAGTTTTTTGAGAGAATCAGAGCTAGTATCATTTTTGGGTTCTTCCCAAGATTCACTCATTTTAATTTCAGGTTCCTCAACTAAGGATTCATAAAGATAGTCCTCTATTGCCATCCCCCCATAGAGTGGCTCAATATCAGGTGGACTGTCTCCTGGAATAGCTTTAGTCTTCTGAATAATTTCCTCGTATGCTTCTTCTGCACTCTTTAATGATTTTGTCACACTGTCCTTTTCTATAAATGGATCAGAAAGGGTGTATGGTATGACTGTTGGTGAAGGTTTACGTCCTCTCTGTACAGCTTGAGTGGCTTCTGATTCTGATTCTATACTGGCAGAATACTCAGAGCCTGATGTTCTATGAGTTTCCTTTATAACTGTGACTTCTTTCAGATCCTCTGTGGAGGAAGAATCTTTGTGTGGGGACAGTAGTTGTCCATGGGGTCCCATCTTCTCTTCCTCAGAGGAGTCTTCGATGGTAGGAAGAGGCTGAGTTGGTTGCCTGTGCTTACCTTTGCGATACTGTTTGTCCCCACTGGGTTTCCTGCGACTAGGGCTGCTATCACTATCCTCTTCCAGGGAGGAGGCTGATGTAGGTGAAGATTCTGGAGTAAAACTGGATGCTTGAACACTAGATGAACCCTTTGACACAGATTCTGTGATGCTTTCTATTTCTTCATCTGTGCTTTGTCTTTGTCTCATGACTGGAATTGCTTTCTTGAAAGTAGTTCTGGGTAATGTTTCAGGCACGCTTTGAGCAGTCATGCTGTCAGTTTTTGGGACTGCTTTGTTCCTGGCTGGGCTGTCTTCATTATCTGTGCTACCTTTTCTAGAAAGTGGTTTGACTGTCACCAATGTATTATCAAGGTCAGTATCCTTTATAGCTTGTACATTCTCCAAATTCTTTTCTTTCTCATCTTCTGATACAGACATTTCTTCTTCATCACCCATACCCATTATCTGCTTGCGGATGAACTCTTCGTCTTCCACAGAGGAGTCAGCACTCTCAGTTTTGATGTCCTCACTGCTGGATGAAATATTGCTCACCTTTAGTCTCCTTCTCTGGACTTTAGGTGATGGTGAGGGTGTGAGTTCACTTTCACTGCTTTCATCCATTGCTTGGAAACTTAGACGCCTTCTTTTAGCATTTATCTCCTCCTTTGCTGGTATAGAAGAATCTGTACCATCTTTGCTTGCACCACTCACTATTTCATCATTCAATTCATGTAATATGGGTAAAATCTGAGGTTGCTCTTCATCATGACCCTCTGGTTTGGATTTGGGCTTAGTAGCTGTTACAGGGACATCTGTAGGCACCTCCGCAGTGGAAAGAGAGTCTTTTCGTTTCTTACTGAACTCTTTGTCTTCATCTTCATCCTAAAATTGTGAAAAGGAAGACATATCAGTGTGCCTGTGATTACATTTCTTTAATAAATGAAGTTGACTCTTAATGCTGTGGAACCCAAGATCTGTCATGAGCTAACTTACTGCACAAGACACACCAACAAGCTTAACAAGATTCTGTCCCCTTTTGAGTTAATCAGTGTAACCAAATGGAGCTGTAATGTACAAATTTCCATATTACTCCATATACTCATAAAAATGCCATCACTGATGTGAACAACTTTAACGTTCTTATAATTTGAAAGATAAAAGTCAAAGTTTTCAAGATTAGCAAAACAAGAGTTTGGAATCTGATGTGCTTTGAATATAAAAATACATCTAATCTTATACAGGTAAAGTATAGCCAAGACTAAAGAACAGAGAGAAAAGCTCTTGTTGTTTAATTTTTTATCTCTTTTAGATAATCTAGATTTTTTTTCAACAAACAGGATAAACTCTTACTTTTCTTTTTGGAGAGACTGGTTGCGACTCAATGGTTGAGAGGATGTTGGTAATTTTGTCAGCAGAGTCATCAGCAAATTCTTTGCTGTCAGTAACTGTGACTGCATCTCCTTCCATAACCACCTGCTGCTGTTCTTTTGACTCTGGTTGCACCATAATTTGCTGCAAAGATTTTGATGAGTCTGTCAGGATGGTGCGATCATCAGTGTCTACCACCTTAATAATCCTCTCTGCAACAGACAGGTCTTGTTTTGTCTGAGCCTCTGGAATAACTTGAGCTACTGCAACCTCTGGAGTGACAGGGGACGCAGAGACAACTGAAGCGTCAGGAACTGGAACTGAAGAAGGTTCAGCTACTCCTGCTTCAAATTCAACTTTATGAAGATCCGTTTTAGACTCTTCAGTTTTGCGTAATTTTGTCGTGCTGAAATCTGTTTTTGGTACCTCTTCTTTCTTGGTAACATCTGTATCTAGAACGTCAATCGTTGGTGTTACCTCTGTCAAAGGTTGCTTTAAAACCTCTTCTTTGGTGGGTAAAGGTGTCGTTTCAAGCTCAATATGTGTAGACGCTGCTGTAAGCATTGTTTCCATTTTGAGAGATGTTGATTCTACATTTGCTTTTATGGTTGAAACTGTTGGTGCTGTCTCAACAGGCACGGGGGTGGGTTGTGATTTTGTGGGTCCAGGCCTGGTCTCTGACTTCGTTGAGGTGGTTTTGGGCTCTGCCTTTGTGGTTACTGGTGTGGCCTGGGTCTCTGACTTGGCAGGTGGAGGTGAAGGTTGAGGCATTTTTCCTGAGTCTCCCAGCTGTCCCGACAAAGCCCTCTGAGTTTGGCAGTTTAAACACAGCCATTCCTTCTGTAATCAAACAAAAACAACATAATTAGGAAACACATTAAGATAAAAAGTCACAATACCAAATGAGAGCTATTGTAATCAGGCTAATTATGGTCCTTATCCAAAGAATTTATTTGTTCAAAAAGATAACTGAAGCATTATGCCAGAGTTGTAAAGTCATGAATGAATTAGCTTCTTTGTCATGCTTCACACCACTGCTTTTTCATTAGCTTCTGGACTAGTACCTGATGATATGTATATGGATGGCCCTGCATAATGATTTAAAATCTTGACTTAGAGCCTACTTAAATAAAGTATTATACCTTAAATTATTAGTAATAATTAAAATGAAACTGTCTGGAATTTATGACTAAATTAGTACTTGGTATTTAGGTGGGATGTCTCCATGTGTGTACCAATGCCACAGAAAAACAGCGCTCTAAAACCAAGCTAGCAGAACAAAGAAATTGTTGAGTAATTGTTTGGCTAGCCCATTGAGACATTACACAAAAAAAGGATATCTATTCTGTAATATATATTTAACTGTGCCTAACTAATTATTAGCCCGTTACCTTCACTGTTTAAGAAAGGGAATTATATCGGCTCAAATAACAACAGACTAAATCTGAGCACTGACAACACTAAACTTTGTTACATGTCAGGTGCTCATTAAAATCCTGCATTAAGATCACAGTAAATTACCCCACTGTGTGCAGAACTCAGTTTTTTTGTGCATGCATTTTTTCTGTTTTCTGTTATGATGATACAGAATCTTGTGTTTTATATGTCATTTCATCCATACACATAAAAAAAAAAGAGTCCACGGTCAAAAGTAACCTGGCCAGGCTGAATTAGACAGAAAGGTTATTTTTCATACAAAGTGGAACTATTAAAGAAAAAGAAGGGCTTATGTAAGTTGAATCATTATCAATCTCATTTTACAAAAGCCTCGCCTCAGACTTTATTTCTTTTTAAACTGCTTTCAGAAAGACAATTTGCTGAAAATAGTGCCAAATTACTTGAATCAGGCTGCTTTATGTCTTTACTGAAAGGAAAAGCAAAAACAAAGAAAAACACTGAAGAAAAACAACAAGCACAAAACAACAAAAAGCAAAAATACTTGATGAACTCAGTCGTGTGATGTCTAGACTTTTTCCTGTTAAGTACGTTTGCAAGTAATAAAAGTTCCAAATTATGTGTTTTAGACTAAGACATGATAATTCCTGATGGTTTTCACATAGACAAATATTATAGTCAATACAATACAGTTTTGGATGCTGAGTAATACCATAGCACTCTAAGTGATCTAAATTCAGTAATCAGCTATCAATGCTGAAAAACAGACTTAGATTTTTAAACTTCTTAATAAAATAATATAAACATGCTCAGTACTGTTACAGTAGACCGTACATTACACATGAAACAGCAATAGAATGCTTACCTTGCAAAAAACCTAATCTCATTTTATAAGGAATGCTATTACTTCAAAATGTACTCCTCTGAAGACATTTCCTATCACATCTAAGCTCCATTAATGGACAGCTAAAGAGGACCAATGCCATAAGCTGCCAATACATTAAGCACTGTGTCTGTACTAGCAACCTAGCAGACCAAATCACAGCAATGCGCCTGCCTCTGCAGAGTCAGGGAGAGCTGCTCTCATATAGGACAGAGGGGGAGTTTATAACACACACATATCCTGTGAAACACCACAAAGTTTTAATTACTTCATCCATGGTTTAATGTATTAGACCCATACTACATATACTGTTTAGTGTATATACATTTAGAATATCATAATTATGCTAATACAGTGGTCATATATGCATAACAATGCCCATGTAATTCATAAACTAGTAACACAGTTACTTTGTTTTTTTCTCTTTCATTTTACTTGTGAAACTGAGCTTTTAAAATACCCATCTTGTTTGTGTATTTTGTCCCACTAAATTGTATAATTATTGCTTGTAAATTTCCAGAACTACCACTGAAGACTGATAGCGTACATCTACTGCAAACAGAGCATGCAAGGAAGTGTTTATATTCAGAAAGTGTAGGCAGCAGTAACACTGCAAGATGAATATGATAAACTGCATGAGCGTGTTTTGTTTCTAACTGAGAAATATTAATTGAAAACAAAATTACAGCCAGTGAGAACACATTAACATAATCTTTGATAAATAACGCCATAAAAAATGGGGAAAAAATGCTAGACTTAGAGGAAAATCTGATACTGATGCATTCAGTTTGCCTGACAGTGAGATGTTTTTGTTCAGTGAGTCGTGATTCAGTCAGGAGGATGATAATCCCATTTGTTACCAACAGTAACAAATAATACCTCATCAGCAGAGTGTATGATGCTGATAATTGTGTTAAACACAAAATGATTTGAGTCTCAGTTTCGTGTGATCTGATGCGAGTTCAGCTTCAGTGATGTTTACCTTTGAAGTTGATCAAACACTAACTACCAGGAGGTTCATCTAAAACCCATATTTGCTGAGAACAATTCATCAAGAATATAGAATATCTGCTGAAAAACCTTTTAAATCTAAAGGTTAGGGTTAGTTCAAGTATTCTAATATAATCCCAACATGTCCTTCCATGCTCCATATTCTTCTCTGTCTTGCTTACAAGACATGTGCATGCTAATCAGCAATTTCATGTCACTACCAAGGCCATTCAGAGGATAAATTAATAATCATAAACTTCTGCTCTTCCTGTTTGTTTGATCATCTTGTAGACCCATTACAATATGGTCTGATGGGAGGCAGCTGATTATCTTTATAACTAATGTATACTAAAATGAATACAATTTTTCCTGTGTATAAACACCTGTGCCATTTGTCATTTTCAAGGAGATGAAATCGCAAGTAGTCATAAGCAATCTTAACTTTAGTTCGAAGATGGATATAAAATCAGATACATTTTACAATCATTGATTACAGGAGATGTTTACAGTTGTAATATTTCTGATATTCTATTAGTCAGCATCAATTTATTAGTTACCCTCTGTGGATTGTCTTTAGTAAAGATAACTGCAAACTGAAATTAAAACATATTCACAACACAGAGGTTGTGACAAAGCTACTTGCCGACAATCTAATACGGTTCACGCCATCTTCAGGTAATAGTATTACACTGGTCTGAATTGTATTAATTGATCTTTTTCAACCGAAGTGATGAATGCATGTACTGACAAATTGCAGGAAGAATGTAAACAAAGCAACTCACTTTTGCATTGCGTATTAAATGGTGGACAAGGCAGCTGTGATAAACAAGTACACCCCTCACTGCACCAGTCTAGAACCTGATAAGTCATTTAACCTCCTAATGCAAAATCTGACAGCAAGGCAGAAAAAAAAGCACTTCCGTCAACAAAAAAGACCCTTCACATCCCCCACTAGCGCCAGTCACTGCTTCAGAGTCATGCATCAGAGCCACAGGGCTTGGAAAGTTGCCAACATTCTTTTGTTTAATTAAATCTATTTTATGAGCAAAGAGCAGGAGCTTATAGCAGAGAGCTGTGGGAGAGACTGCTCCACACGATTAGCCTCTGAGCTGGATTATCAGACATTGACAATGACAGCAGTAAGGAAAATAGGCTCTTGACACACAGGTATGCTGCATTAAGCTAGATCTGCTGAGCTTATGAAATCATTTCCCTGTTCAAATCATTTAAACAAAAAGACAAATAAATTATGTCATTCAAAATGTGAGATGTTAAAATACTTTTACTGGTATTTATGTATGTTAAATAAAAACATTTGCCAGATCTGTTCTGATAACTCTCAATGGATCCTCAGTACTCTTAGGTCATGGTAGTGTTTGGGATGAAAGGTGACTGGTTCAGCAAAGACACATTAATCAAAGTGCTCCAAAGACCAAAAATGTTTTAGTCTTGCATTTTTAGACGAATGAAACAATTTTTTTATATTGTTTTAATAATGAATATTATTTGTCACTTCTTAGACACCTATCATAACTTATCGTGGTGGTGCTGAAATGTATCTTAACATAGCTAGATTCAAGGACTCACTATTTCTCAGCCTTTCTTCTGTGCTTTCCTGCTGATGTGTCGGATCTAGTAAGGCTCTTATTGATTTTCTGGCAAGCACCTTTAGCAAAGGCTGTAGCTTGCTAATATACTTGGCTTCCAGCAGCCCCCACAGAGCAGGGTTTCTCATAAATCACGCACTCTGATAATACAGAATGTTGACCTACTAATCTGTAATAACCACAGTGACTCACTCTAAAGACAATGAAATATGCCCATGCTTTTTCCATTGTGACAACTGGTGCATCAGCAAAGTTTCATTTGATGGCAGAGTGCAGTGGGGATAAAGACTGTTGTGGGACCAGTGGTAAGAGGGTGTTGCAGCATTAGAAGGAAATGTTACAAACTAAAGCTATAAGCTACAAACACAAATAGATGAATAGAATAATATTTTTTAAAGCAATGAATAAATGCAGGCACAAAATTACTGATACAGAAACATCAGTGTTTCCAAATTCCAAATATATTTTCTACGATTCTTGTTTATAGAAAAGAATTAAAGCATCTGAACTAAAGAAGCTCTTAGAAATGATCATATATTAACATATAACCCCTAATCACTGTCAGTACAGGAGAGAGCACGCATCTTGAGATGATGTGGAATTTACAAGCATTTCATTCATGTTACTTATTATTCATTTCTATATTTATATTTAGATACTTTAAGCATTAATACAATTTTTAATTATTAACTAACTCTGTAAAATGAAGTAATAACAGGTTAAGTATAATTTTGAGTATTTGCTTTGTAACATAGCACCAAGGAGTTAAACTCCCTCTATGTTTTGTAAACCAAGCCTTTCCTGTTCGGTGTTTTCATAGCTACTTTTACAAATTTAGAGCAAGTCCTTCCCTATAATTTGCAAGTCAGAGCAAAAAAAAATGCTTACATCTGCTCTCTGTTTCACTGTGTGTTAGTGAATAACATACCAGCTAACACAATAGTAAACAACATCATCAGTTTACCTGCTCTAACATATCATGGCTGCTCACTGAGAGTTAGTGGATGTTTTTTTTTCTAATAGTTGGTCTTCTGATTGTCAATGAAATGCAAAAGAAATGTGAAAATGCAACTGAGATGCATTTACTTTGCAATGTGACATTCAGTGACTAATTCAATACGCCCACCAGCGATTACTCTCGACACCTGACATAAACCAGAAACAGCCATCACGCCTCCAGAAGTTTAAATTTCCATTTAAGTTCAAAATTAAGTGAAGACCATTTTTTGATGGTTGCCAAGGGTGGCACATGCACTCCAAAGGTGGCCTTCTTTGATAAATGTTGGATCTTGTGACTAATTTCCATTGCTTCAACTTTCATGAATTTAAACTGGGAAATTCTTAAAGAACATTCAACAGCTTCAGCGTTTACAGACTTGTTGTTGTCACCTCTTTAATGCTGGACCGCATCATTAAGCTTATGCATGTGAGATTTTCATACATGAAGTTATGCTCACATAGCGGTGACTGTAGCTCAGGTAGAGCAGATTAGCTACTGATTGGAAGGTTGGTGGTTTGATCCTTGGCTTCCCCAGTCTGCATGTCAAATATTCTTGGGCAAGAACCAAGTTGCCCTCTGATGCGTTCATCGGAGTGTGAATGTAGTGTGTGTGTAGATTAGTTTGCACTTGAGTTTAGTTTAGAAGTGCTTGTGTGAATGGGTGAATGAGGCATGTTGTATATAGTGCGTTGAGTACTTCGGAAGAGTAGAAAAGTGCTATATGAGAATCAGACCATTTACCACAATATTGAACTACCCCGCAAAAAATAATAATTTAAAAAACATTAATTAGCCTGCTGACTGATTACTTTTTAACACCATAAAATTGTGAAATCATGCAAAAATAGCTATATATCACACAACTCTTTCTAGAATGATTAATTTTTTTCTTCCTATTAGCTGAAATGTAGCAACTTAACATAGCAATGTCAAGGTACTCCTCTGTACCTTGACAGTACTGTCTTACCTTGAGGCAACTACTGGGTCTCATAGTAAACCAATTTAAATGGACAGTAATAATGTGGGGCTTTTGTACTGGTAAAGCTGAACAAATATTCTATTTTAAACCAGTGGTAACACAGAAAATAGAGGAATCATCATTCATACTGTCACAGCTGTCACACTCTAAGCTTTAGCTAGCAAAGCACAACACACGTGTGCCCTACTTGTCAGACAACAGTCACTCCCAGGCTTTTGATGGCATCAGCTGAAGCAGAACAGGCAAACGGAAAAAAATGAATAGACTTGCTGATGGCACTCACTTTGCCTCCTCTTCTTTCAAACATTACTTTTTGATATTTTAAAAGGGGGCTAAAAAAAAACCAGATAGTAAACTGGTGAACACACCCATTTTGGACAAAGCAGGTCATAGGACAGCAGCAAATATGGCATCCTATCGTCCTATCCAGTCATACTGAAGCTTTTTCTGTTTTCATCACATATTTGGAAAAAAAAACATGTGCATTGTACACCCAAAGCAGCAAACTCTGACTCACATCCCCCCAGCCCCCAGAACACAATCCAAATTCAAGCTCCAGGTTATTACCATTTTGTTGTGTCAACGAAAAAAGTGACAAGTGTCAATTGCATAAATGGCACATGTCATTCTAGGTTATCTGTCACTGGGAAAATGAAAGAAAAAAAGATTCAGGTCTGAGTGTGCCAGAACAAATTACAGCATCAACTCTTAAATCCACATCTCAGGAGATTAAAAAAAGCGTTGTGGTATTTGTTCACTTAATTATAGTAAAGTCTAGGATTTCACAAAGAAAGAGTAGACGGCACTGCACATTTCATTCAGCTACACGTTGTATGTGCGTGGGTAAGTCACAAAGCAGGTACACGCGTATATTCATGTCACCAAAACGAAGAGGAAATTGTTGAATTACATGGAGCCACTGCTGCGTGTGAGAGCAGGTGGCCTGATAAGAAATGTCTGCTCTTCTAATGTACTGCACTGTTTTGCTGGACTTAATCTGTTTCAACTCTACTTATTGGCATATCACAGGGCTTTGCCATCTCAAATCTCTTATGGGGGATGGAGATTCCCTGGACCCGGGTCTCCTATGGCAGTAGATCCCATCTCGCTAATGCGGTTGCACAACCGTCAATCACTTTAATACATTTTCAGTGCTCCTGGCCAGCTGAAGCACTCTCCTCATGAGCAGTTATGTAATAACCCTGGCATCTTCCGTGGAGAGAGAACCACAGCAGTTAGAGAGAGTGTAGTTTTGGTATGCTTTGTTTTACATTGCAATTATTCCAAACACTAAGACATAATAAACTGAATGGACACAGACAGCTCTTCAAAATCAAAGTCTGAAAATACATATAAATTAAAGTTCTCATCAGATTCTAGCTGCTGTGGCACCTTCATCTAATATTCTACTCCACTTGTATTTTATTTTCTTTGTCAAGAAAATCAAACAACAGAGCAAAATGCTGCCTCGGGTGTGCTCTATTTTCAGAAGGAATAAAAAGCTTTATGACAGTCAGTCTATGTTTTTCCACCCTTTGCAACAGAAAGGAATATTCCTCAGAGTAAAAATGTGCTAAAATATGTTGGTGCAGCCTGAACACTCCAAACCAATATTTAATAGCACAAGAAACACCACATAAACAGAAAGTGTAGTAAGGATACAAACTTACTGTACTGATAAATCACAGCATTAGGACTACCAAACACTTGTAAAGTCATTAAAATGCTCATTAACATGTCTCAGATGCATTGCCAAAACGTGAGTGTTCTTATATTCGATTTTATGCAACTTTTACATGAAAGCCAACAATGTGCCTGACCAAAACTTTTGTACTGGAACAATTTGTTTTATATAAAATAAGAAGCCACTGAAATAAATTATGTTGAAAAGTGTGCAAATGGAGCAACATGGCCACTTCACTATCACTCTGTGGTGCTCTTACTCATGTTTGGCTCCCCAATGGAAACACTGAATATTAAAATAAGGTGCTTTTGTGACAAAAGCACCTTATTTTAATATTTATTAATGCAAAAAGACATGATCATGATAATGATTCCTCCTGCCAGTTGAACATAAGGCATATCAGCTGATGAAAAAACTCCTTTTTTTCTGTAAATTGTAACTGAAACATTAATATGTGTATTCAAGAGTATTTTTGTACTTACCACTGCTGTATGAGGCATGGGGTTAAATCCACAAAGATTGCAGACAATGTTCTTGCATTCAGTACAGGTGTTGTAATTGGGTGGCTCCTTCGTTCCCACATTGAGTTTGACCTTACAGAGCAGACAGGTAGACAGACCTTCTTTAGGAGCAACCTGAAGCACTTTGTCCTGTGCTAATGGTGTAGCCTTGGCCTGTTGAAGTGGATCAGGTGTCTGTGTTGCCGGTGGTTTACTATCCTTTACTGGGGGCATCTTAGGAGAAACCGGAGGTGTAGGTTTAGGGCTGACACTTGTTGTAGTGGACATCTTCCGTGGAGTAGGTGGTGTAACTTTAGGTTCATCCTGAACTGCCGAGGTTATCAATGTAGATGCAGAACTTAAAATTGATGAACCAAAACCAAACATCTTCCCAGTCACTGACTCAGCAGGCTTTGGAACAGTAGGTTTAGGGGCACCAAAGCCAAAGAAACCACCAGACTCCTGTTTCGCTGGTTGAGCTGGTGGTGGGGCAGGCTTGGGAGATTGGGTCAATGGCTTTGATGGCTGTTGTGGTAGTTTGCCAGCTTCTTGTTTTGCGAAACCTGACTTTACTTCTGGCTTTGTAGGTTGTGAAATCTGTCCTTGTGGGGGGTTTTCCACAAGCTTTGGCTGGCTGGCCACATTCTGAGCATGTCCTTGTGCCTTTTCCTTAGAATCTTGCTGTGCTTTGTCCATCCTTTGGACTGCAGTTGGCACTGGAGCCTCACCTTTGAGAATTTCTTTTCTGGGTTGAACTATTTGAGTAGCCTCTTTTTGGACATCTGCATACTCTGCAGCTTTCTCCTTCTGGACTAATGTCGGTGTGTCCTTCTGTTCAGAACGAGGAGGTGTAGAAACCTTGCTTGGCATGGGCTGGGGTTTCACCACAGTAGGTTCAATGGCTTCAGATACTCCAAGGGCTCTCTGCATCTGGCAGTTTAAACAAAGCCATTCCTTTACCTGGAACAAGTGTAATGGAAAGCATAAATCACTGTCCAATAAATAAAAAAACAATAACAGTGTTCTGAAATCAGATGAAGGTGCAATGATTTTAAAGCACAAAGAATATCCAATGATATCAAGGTTACTAATGTAACGTGCATATATTCAAAGGGGATTCATTTATACAAACAAATCATGATCATTGAAAAATAAAATGTGTTTAATTTCTCAAACTGTTTTACCAGTGTAATGTAGTTTTTATTTTCTTTTAATGCAATTTTAATAAGGCATAATTATAAAAAAAAAATCAGAGGCGAACTGTTTTTTCAAACAATAGGAACTGTGAGAGCTCCTGTATTGTTTTAAAAGCTTTTCTATAATGCCCAGCTTTGTTACTTTTTTTTATATTTTTTGACTCAGAGTAGCGTAGCTTTTATCAACTCAATCTGATAATTCTTCTCCAAATGTGAGTTTCAAAAGTTACAGTCTCAAATTGGGGTATGCAACATGTTTTCGATGTCTCTTGAAAAATAAAACATCTATATTTTAACAAATTATTTCTCAAATTTGGTGTTCAAATTCTTCCTATAATTTGTGCATTTTACTGGAGATAAATGGCAAAAATTAAGCCAATTCAGGCAATTTATTACCAATAATTTAGATTAAGTCTTTAGATTTAGATTAAATTCAGATTAACATCAGTTAAATATTCATAAAGCTGTTATGGCTGGATTGTTTTGTAAATCAAGTAATACTTGATTTAGTAGGACCCACAATAATTGAGTGACAAAAATATGAAAACTACAAAAAGGGCAACAATAAACAGAAAGTTGCATACCTTTAAATCATCTGGTACTGGATTAAAGCCACACTGATTGCAGACAGTTGTCTTGCATTCTGTGCAAGTGTTGTAGTTAAGAGGATCTGTGGGGCCCACTGTAAGTTTCACCTTACAGAGTGGGCAGACAGACTGATCTGCTTTTGAAGCACCTTGGGTGTCTACTGGCACCTTAGGGGGCTCTGATGGAACTTTGTCCACTTTGGCTTGAACTGTTGAAGGAGTCTTATCCTGCTGTGGTTTCTCTGGTTTCTTCTCCTCTGTTTTCTGGACAGGCGGTGGTTTGGTGTCCTTTGCAGGTAATGTTTTAGGAGAGGCTGGTGGTGTAGTTTTAGGAGTGACACTGGCTGTAGTGGACATTTTACGTGGCGTTGGTGGTGTAGTTTTAGGAGTGACACTGGCTGTGGTGGACATTTTACGTGGCGTTGGTGGTGTAGTTTTAGG